TGCGGAAACCCTGAATAGTTATTTGCTAATATCCTTTACATTAATGCCTTGCTTTGTTGCAAATTCAACATGGAACTTCATGTAGGTTTTAAAGCAAACAGATTTTCGGGTTTTATAGGTATATACGAAATTGCGCCCTTTCCATGCACAGAAAAATTGCTCAATTATTCAAACGAATTTCACGCATTTAATTGTGTAAATTTAGCCAGGCATGACATGCACGCCGGATGGTCACCCCAATTGGGAGCCCTGCTCAGCTCCTCCGGCGACCAGGCGTGCGCGCGACCACTGGGCGGAGAGGGGGGTGGCCTGGCTAACGGTACGTAACGTCATAATCACCCCGAAGCGCACGTAATTGGCCAATCAATTGTGTCATTGTTCGCATTTATAACGCGGCCTACGCCGTGATTTATGCGGCGATGTGGGGAATACTGGAACTGAAGTCCAGACGGAGCGTTGTGTTATGTTGTTGCAAGTGTTAGGCCTAGCTGGGAGCTGGCCGTGGGAGTTACGTGGAGTTACGGAAATGCATGAGCCACTGGAGATCTTGAGCAACAGAAGTTTTTATGCTGTTGCGGGTGTGTTTTCTGCTCCTCTTCGTCTTCTTCTTTTTTACTTTTGGCTGTAACTTTGTAACAAATGCACAGAAAGAATGACAACTACTGTTTCCGGTGGGGTGTGGTGGGTGGTGCCAGCACCACTGCCGGCTGTCGCATCGAAAAATTACATGCCTAGCGCAAAAGTTTTGCCTCTTCATTATTCGAACATCAAGTCGAGCTGGAGCGGCAAGTCGACACGAGTTGCGGTTTGCAATTTTTCTTTGCCTTCTCCGGGCCGCCCGATCCCAGCCTGCAGTTCGCCACAGCCAGACAAAGTGTGAAACGAGGCAAAAAACTTGTCGGGCCGCACATTCCGGGCGTCTCAGACAGCCAAGGCGTGCCAAAAAATTATACACTGTATTTTAATCACAATTCAAATCAACGAAATCATCGTCGTTATTCCAGTAAAAGTAGAAGCAGCAGCAGCAGAAGCAGGAGCAGGAGCAGCAGCAGCAGCAGCTGTCGCTGCGAGTTAAAACGCGTCTGTATGTGAAAAATGGATAAATGCCACTTGAGTAGAACTTTTCTTCACTTTTCCCTCATTAACTTGCTGAGCGCCATTCGATTGCAGGGAGAGAACGGAAACTCCCTTCCTCTCTATCTCCCATTTCTTTAATGTCCATAGACAAAGTAATCAAAGCAATTCATTCATATTTTCAATTTTAGCTAATAAAGGACAAGTTTATGCTAATATTAGTATATAGTTAAGTATCTTACATAATGGCGAGGTAAGGGTAAACAATTGATTAGAGACTCGTTTTCACATTTACATACATATAGTAAATTAACATTGAAAATGGGAAAAGTATGTATCAGACAGAAGGATTCATCATAGACCCCATAAAGTATTGTATGAAGGTCTCCTAGGGTCCTTGAGATAATCCGTATATATCAATAAGTGTGTAAGTGTAAGACTGTATGAGTGTATATATGTATGTATAGAAGCATTAATGTATATGTGTATGAATGTGTATATGTATAAAAGCTTACATAAAACAAGTAAGAAAGCTCTAGTCGAGACTGCTCGACTACGAGATCCCCTG